TCTTTGGATTCTGTCAAATAGTCATGTAACACCACCATAATGGAGGCATAAAACATTTCCATTATTCCAAAAGTTTTCTCTTGCCTTTTTTGTAGTCAATTCCATTCCCTTATCCCTAGTCCCTCACAATTGCTGATCTGCTCTCTATCCCTATAGTTTTGTCTTTCCCAGAAAGTATTAATATCATAAATGAAATCATATATCACATAGCTGTTTGGGTCTGGATTCTTGTATTTACCATAACCTTTGAGAACCATCCATGTTACTGCTTGGATCAGTAGTTGATTCCTTAATTATTGCTCAGTAATATTCCATTGTGTGGGCATACCGTAATTTGTTTATCCATGACAGAGCTGAAGAACATTTGATTGTTTCCAGTTTTTTGATGACTCTAAATAAAACTACTAAAACATTCACCTAAAGGGTTTTTAAAATTTTGCAGACATATATTTTCCCTTTTCTTGAGTAAATTCCTGAAATGGGATTCCTGCGTTGTATGGTAAGTGTATTTAACTTAATAAGAAAATGTCAGACTTTTCCAAAGTGACTGTATTATTTTGAATTTGTACTAGCAGTGTATGAGAGTTTCTAGTTGCTCTACTCCTTCTTAGTTCTTGATAAAGTAAGTTTTTAGTATTTTAAAAACTTTAACCATTCTGATAGGTGTTTACTGTATTCTCATCTAATTTATATTTTCATAATTATTAATGTTGAGGGTCTTTTCAAGTGATTATTGTTTAATTGTGATGGTTTTAAAAACATTCTGGTTACTGCCCTTTATCTAGTATGTGTTTTGCAGATATTTTCTTCCAGTCTATAGCTTGTCTTTTCATTGTCTTAACAGTGTCTCGAAGAGATTTTAATATTGATATGTCCAATTTGTAAATTTTTTTCTTTTGTGCTTTTTGTGTCCTATCTTAAGAAATAGTTGCCTAACCAAAGGTCATGAAGATTATTTCCTTTGTTTTCTCCTGGAAGTTGTTTTAACTTTTACGTTTAGGTCTATGATCCATTTTGAGTTAGATTTTGTTTATTCGTATGGGTTGAAGTTCTTTTTTTTTTTTGGTAGTTAGGTGTCCAGTTATTCTAGTATAGGTTGAGCATTCCGCTGAAATCAAAAATGCTCTGAAACCTGAAACTTTGAACACCAGCATGGTGTGCAAGGGAAATGCTTATCTGGGGATTTGGGATCTTTAGGTTTGGGATGCTCAACCAGAATAATGCAAATATTCAAAAATCTGAAATTCAAAACACTTTTAGTTTCAAGCATTTCAGATAAGGGATACTCAACCTGTATACATGGTCTCTTGTACGTTACAGATCTTTTATCGGTATTGGGGTTGATATCATCCCCAGTGGTTTTAAACAAGAGATGCTTGGTACCTCTCCTACAAGTACTCTTATCCAGTGTATTAACTCCTCTCTTATTAAGACAAGAAAAATCTAGGTCACAGGAATTTCCTGGTGGAATTAAAATGACACCTGAGTCTTTTTTCCCCATCCTCTGATAGTTTACTCTTTAACCTTCAGTTTGGCAGGGGGTTATGGTTATTTTTAGAGTACAGGCGGTAGAGTTAATCTAATTAAACTCCTACAGCTACCTGGGGCAGTGAGCTCAACAGCTTTTCCCAGCTCAGCATGGTTTGCTCTGGACTGGATTTTACATGGAAGTTAAAGTAAAAACAGTAAATTTGTTGGGAATATAATGCATTGAAGAATGAAGGAGATAGTTTGGATTTGGGTCAAATATGGTCCCTAACCTCAGATTATAAAATTGAAGATTGTATTCTTTGGTGATGGAAAAGATTCTAGAGTGGCTCCTATACTGGGCCTAGGGCACAGTCATAGTATCTCCACTTGCTTTAGTTTGGCCATTGTCTAAGCTCAGGCTGCCATAACAAAATACCATAGACAGGGTGGCTTAAATATTAATAACAGAAATTTATTTTCTCATGGTTCTGGAAGCTAGAAGTCCAAGATCAGGGTGCCAGCATGGTTGGTTTCTGGTGAAGACTCCCTTCCTGGCTTGTATCTAATCACCTTTTTGCTATGTCCTCATGTGGTGGGGATTGGGGGGAAGTGTAGGAGAATGCCTAAGAATGAGAGTGTATGTGCAAACTCTTTGCTGTCTCTTTTAAGGGCACTAATTCCATCAGAGCTTCCACCCTGTAACTTCGTCTAAACTTTATTATCTCCCAAAGGCCCCATCTCTACATCAGCTTGGGAGTTATGGCTTCAGCATATGAATTTGGGGGTACAGTACAGAATTCAGTCCATAGCAGGCAGTGACTCTGATTTCCACACAAGAGTTGAAATGGTTTTAAGTTTCTTCATTTTGATTGAAATTTATATTATAAGCATAACAACTCATCCCCAAAGTAGTTGTATTTTATTATTGTCATCATTTTTTACTTTCTAAAGAATTAGTTCCCCAAAGTGGAAATTTATGCACCCCTAAGGGGTATGCAGGATCATCCAGTGGTATGTAGAAAAAGAATGTTGAAATAGCTTTTTTCTTTTAGAAAAATTAAGCTAAATATTTAATGTGAGTTGATTGTATGTACATGAATGTATACACATATTGGAGGTTCATGCTCAGAGTTTACACTGGTAGAGATTCATAAAGTCTTGAGACCACTGTTCTAGAGTACCCTTCTGCAGAAGTTTTAACATTTAATTCTATTTATCTGTATCATCTCTGGAATTTGTACTTTATAGATGAAGTATGAAAATGAATAGAGAAATGAATTCCAGAGATGATTAAGAAGCTCATCCAAGGGTACAAAGAATGCTAATGGCTTAGTTGATACCAGAACCCTGGACTTCTAATTTTCAGTCTAAGACTGATTTTGCTAAACTCTGTGGCTTCCAAAAATGTGACTTTTAGAAGCTATCTGCCTATCAACTCAGTGATTAAAGAGTAAGCATAAGCATTCACAGGGTTTTCTCTGCTTCTGCAGTAAATTCTGTCAACTATTTTCCTCAAAGAGAAGATTTCTTCTTAGAAGAACCTTAAACCAATTTTTCCAAAAGACTACTTTGCAATATCTAGGTGTGGGCTGACCCTCATTACTCCCTTTTTCCCACTTCTCATAGCTGAGTGAGAGTTTAGGCTTTGGCTCCTCCTAGTCTTGGAGGCTTGGAAAGCACATGTGTTTTCTAGAGCAATTACAAGTTTAAAGTTCAGGCAGTCTGGGCTCCTGTAGGAGTTGATGTTTAGTTTTGAGAAAGGTATTCTGGAGCAGCTTTTTTATTCTTCTCTGGGAATAAATAATATTGGAGTGCAATCATGGTATCAGAGACAGTTTTGATTCTAGAGGGGGGAAAACATCAAAATCTGTTCTCAGTTGACCATGATACACTGGCCTGCTTATGACTTTAGTTTTCAATCTTAAGAAAGTAGTGTAATCAGTTTCCCTACTTCATAGGACTTTTGTAATTAATGTGATTGATTTTAAACCCCAGATGGGGTAGAAGATATTGCTGAGATGCTCAAGAGTGTAAACAAACTATTGAGAGGGAAACACAAATGCTGTGTGAGGAATGCTGTCCAAAAGTGTATACATCAAAGTAAGAGGAGGAAAACAGCATGCTTTTCAACTAGCTCTTCACTGTTTTTCTTTTTAAATTAAAATTATCTTTCTTTTTCTTTTTTTTAACCTGATGGATGTGGACACTGTTTTTCTTTATGTGGCTGCTTTACATATTTTTTTGTGTTGGCACTTTCATCACCACCTTCCAGATATCCTTTCCTCAGATTTGGCCTCAGCCTTGCTCTTGTAGTATTTCTACTCTCCCACCTTGGCCTACTATGGTTGATCTTTGGGCAGCTATCTCTTGGCAGAGAACACTTTTTTTGAATCAGCTTGGATTTCTGTAGAGGAGAGTAGGGGGTAAGAATAAGGATGGGCTGCTTCTGGGATAATTGTTATGGGAATGAAAGGGCTGTTGAAAGATTAGAGGCCAGTGTGCCTGGGTACAAGGGCTGGGGTCATAATTATACTTTGTCTTTTACCAGTGCCTTTTGTCCAAGGCACTGAAAGGGCTTAACAAAATTCTGGTCTGAATAATATTATTCTTTGCTCTTTGGAATTTACTGGAGGTGGCAGTGAGGCCCTGGGAGAATAAAATAAAATAAGCTAGATACCCTGATTATTCCTAGTTAAGAAAAGATAAGTCTGGTGAAAGTTGGTGGAATTAGGTGAAAAAATGTTTGCCATTATATGAAATGGGCTGAGATGGTTTAATGGAAATGTTTCCATCCCCCCCCCCCACGTTTGCCTCTGGTGACTGACTGTTAGTCCTAAGAGAAAACAAATAAACAGCTTTAAGGTTCTTTCTTAGGGTGGAGTGCTCCTGAGTTCTAATTCCAGCTCTACTTCTTATAATCTTTAGTTAGTATTTGTGCCTATAATAAGTTTGAAGCTAGGCATCTGAGTGAACATAAAGCCTAAGCTCTTACCCTAAGAACTTGATTTCTTCTATCTCCGTTGATTTGTGTATAAAATGATACTCAGAATCTGACCCACCTCATTTTTTTGTGAAAACAAGTATTTTATAGAGTTTGTAGATATATATGACTATTTATTAAATACATTGGAAGATTCATTGGCAGAGGGCATTGCTGAAGCTAGCTTTTTGTATTTCGTATTGAATTGAGACTTTTTGTTTACAGTACCTGTCACTTTATGTGCCTCCTATTTCAGGTTTTATTTTATTTCAGTTCCCAGTTTCCCATCTGAAAAACTACTGCCAGTTACTTGGTGAATAAAGTAAAGAGAGGGCAGTTGACCTCCCCAAAATTTGTACCTTTATGGAATTTAGACAGGGAAAAAAATTCTGGTGTGCTTTTTAGCAGCTGAGAAGCCCTGTTAAGCACACACAACAATCATTTTTATAAAAATGATAAAGCCTGTACACTGTTAAATCTCCTTGTCTCTTTTGTCATCTTTCCCAGGTTGTTTCCTAATTGTTTTATTTTCTTCCTCTCCCAAATTCAGGCTGGCTACAGCAAACATCATTCAAGATGTCCAGCAAAGGGAGCAGCACAGATGGCAAAACAGACTTAGCTAATGGTAAGGGGCCAAAATGAAGGTGAAGCTAATTTTACTGTCAGCTGAGGTTCTCCTCCTCCCCTCAATGTAGAGTGGAGACCTGGATTTCAGTAAAGGGAAGGAACCCTTCCTGTGTTGTTTTGACGATAGGAAACTACGCAGGAAACATCTTGGGCTATCTGGTACTTTTGCTCCTTCAAATTTTATCTGATTGTTTCAGAAGATCAGTAACAGAGCTAGCAGTTCTGTTCTGTTCTCTTTTCTGTGTTCTCCTCTCTTTTCTTTTCTTAACAGGGTTTTACTCTGTTGCCTGGGCTAGTGTACAGTGGCACCATTGTACCTCACTGTAATCTCCTGGGCTCAAGCAGTCCTCCTGTCTCAGCCTCCCAAGTAGCTGGGTCTACAGGCACCATGCATGTTAATTTTTAAAAATTTTTTTGTAGAGGCAGTGTCTTGCTGTGTTGCCCAGGCTGGTCTCAAACTCTTGGGCCCAAGTGATCCTCCTGCCTCAGCCTCCCAGAGTGCTAGGATTATGGGTATGAGCCACCATGCCTGGCCCAGAGCTGTACTTATGAGAGGTTAAGTGGTTTGGAATTCTGAAAGGCTATACAATGGGCAGAACCTAGGAGATGCTATTAATAAAGAAGAAAAATAAGATCCAATTGGTGATGGGAACAAGGAAGTTTGGGGGAAGATGTAGTTTCCCAGTTATATTGAGAGGTCCCTTACCATGATAGGTCATAGTTTGGTAGAGATATTACATAAAAGATGAAGTTGCAATCCAAACCAACTGGGATTAGGGCTTCCTTCCTTCCCTTTCTTATTTCCTTCCCTTCCCTACCTTTCCTTCTTTTTCTTCCCTTCTTTCCCTCTTCTATTTTTCAGGACCAATGCTAACAAGTGTTAAATTACTGGGTCTGGGACAGATTTGAAGGTAGAATACCAAGTTTCTAATAGATTATAGCTGCTACCTGGGTTATTTGACCAATGCTAAGCTAACTTTCAAACTAGAGAAATCTTCAAATGGATATAGTTGAGCAACACAGAGTCTAGTGTTCCTTAGCACTTTGAAGTTCAGGATTATAGGCTAAATTCTAGTTGATGTGATTGGTGGAGCATTGAAGTTGAGGAAGAGTAGGTGAGATTTTCAACATGCTTTTTTGTTCCCTTGTTATTATCACTACCATTCCTTTTTTTTTTTTTTGAGATGGAGTCTCGCTTTGTTGCCCAGGCTAGAGTGAGTGCTGTGGTGTCAGCCTAGCTCACAGCAACCTCAAACTCTTGGGCTCAAGCAATTCTACTGCCTCAGCCTCCCGAGTATCTGGGACTAGAGGCATGTGCCACCATGCCCGGCTAATTTTTTCTATATATATTAGTTGACCAATTAATTTCTTTCTATTTATGGTAGAGACAGGGTCTCACTCTTGCTCAGGCTGGTTTTGAACTCTTTGAGCAATCCTCCCGCCTCGGCCTCTCAGTGTGTTAGGATAACAGGTGTGAGCCACCACGTCCAGCCTCTACCATTCATTTTTTGTAAAGAAAAGTGGTTCACATTTTTCATTTTTTGTAAAGAAAAGTGGTTCACATTTTTCATTGGGCTTAGTTGAAAGGTACAGGTTTTTAGAGGAATTTGAGGTATGCTGTCGATTTGGAAGTTGGCCGCTAGCTAGATCAGGGATTGGCAAACTATAGCCTGCAGGCCAAATCCAGCCTGTCACTTGTTTTTGTAAAGTTTTCTTGGAATACGGTCATACCTATTCATGTACGTAGTGTCTGTGGTTTGCTTTTGTTCTATTCTACATAGTGAAGTTGAGGAGTTGTGACAGAGTTTCATATGGTTAGCAAAGCCTAAAATTTTTACTGTTTGACACTTTACAGAGAAAATTTGCCAGCCCCTGTGGTAGATCTTGGTCAGTGACTGTTGGGGCTCTCTTGCTGACCTTGTGATACACTCTGGCTCTTATATTAATGTGGTAGATCCTCCAAAATCATCTGAATTTGTTAATCATAATTATAACAATAAATGCTAGTAGTTTTGATTTTAAAATTTTTTTTCTTTCTTCCTAACCACTAGGTGACCAGGGAAATTTTGATGTTTTATTTTTCTTTCTCCACAGACCTGTTAGGTGTGGTATTTATTCCTTCTAATCGCCCTCAAGCTCAGGCAGAATTGCATTTTAAAAAGCCACAGCTATTAAACTTTCTCAGAATGTATAACAGTCTCAACAAATGTGGTTCTTAGGTTCAAATTTCTGTTTTCTTCTAGCCCCTAGCCCACTTGTTTTCACATTGCTGTTAGTTGAGGTTTTTTTGTTTTGACAGGAGCTGTTTATGTCTCCCAACCTTCTGTTACTACTTGAACCAAAGCACTTGCATTGGTTGTTTTCCAAATTTGATTCTGCCTAAGAGTTCATTGCAAATAATTTCCATTGCTTTAAAGATGTTCACAAATTACTGCACTAATCCAGATGACTAGGCATTAAGGTGTTCCAACTTTGAATCCTTAAATATCAGTGTGGTATTTTAGTTGAATAGCTCATACTAGAGTCATATACAGCTTGTCTGCTTTTCGTAACAGCTTTTATTCTGGCAGGATAAAATTTATAGCCATCTTAGGAAAGGAGGCCCTGAACAGTGTTTAAAATCCTCATTCTCCCTTTCCTTTCTTCACACCTTGACCTTAGGTTGGCAGTTGTGGTTGTATTGGCCCTAGGATATTACCCAAGTGCTCACTGTAATGTGATTTGGCTGTTGTTAGATAAGAGAAAGCAGTATACTAATTGTAGGAGATCGGATGGGGCAAAGTGACCAAGTTTTTTAACTACCAACATAGCAGACCTAGAATATACTGAACTTTTTTTCTCAGGCACTATTGTAATAGCCCTGCTTTTTATCAGTTTTATATATGCCTCATAAAACCTTATCTCAATAAAAAGACTAAAAAAGAGACTAAAAATTGTGAACTAATGGAAGTCAGAATACATTTATACTAGCAAAAGGAGAGTGAGAACCCACTGAAATGGTCACAATTCCCACTTACCCCTTCAACTTCCTTTCTTAGTAGATTTTAGGAACTTAAGGGAAGAAACCTAGGATTTAAACATAAATCCAAGGTTTACGTCTAAACCTAGGAATAGTGGTGCTTCTCAAAGTAGGAATTGGTTCAACTCCATATTCATAAGTCAGGGTGATCCCCCTACCCCCACCCCAGACAGAGTCTTGCTTCGTCGTCGTCCTGGCTAGAGTGCAGTGGTGTCATCATAGCTCATAGCAACCTCAAACTCCGGGGCTCAAGCAGTCCTCCTGCCTCAGCCTCCTGAGTAGCTGGGGCTATATGCTAGTGCCACCATGCCCAGCTAATTTTTCTATTTTTTGTGGAGATGGATGTCTTTCTTTTGCTCAGGCTGGTTTTGAACTCCTGATTTCAAGCGATCTTCCTACCTCGGTCCCCAGAGTGCTAGGATTACAGGTGTGAGTGACTTTTATCAGTTATTTTCCATGTTTCCTTAAGAAGATAGCTATGCTAGCTCTTGCTGAAGATGGCTATTCTTTTTTCTTATATTCTATTTAACTACTTGCTGTGACTAATGGATGCCCATCCAACAGAACAGAGCCTAAGGTGTTGTATAAGGCACATTTCATACAATACGCCAATGCTTTGTCTTTGAACACTTATTATAATCTGAGACTGTCATGAGATTCTTCATTTTTTTTTTTTTTTTTTTTTTTTAAAGTCTTGTCACCAGACCTGAGGTTTTTTTGACATTTTTTTTTTTTTTTTTTTTTTTTTGACACAAAGTCTTGTTCCGTTACCCTGGCTAGAGTGCTTTGGCGAAAGCCTGGCTCAGAGTAACCTCAAACTCCTGGGCTCAAGCAATCCTTCTGCCTCAGCCTTCCAAGTAGCTGGGACTACAGGCATGTGCCACTGTGCCCAGCTAATTTTTTCTATATATTTTTAGTTGTCCAGCTAATTTCTTTTTATTTTAGTCTCACTCTTGCTCAGGCTGGTCTTTTTTTTTATTTTTTTGAGATAGAGTCTCACTTTGTTGCCCAGGCTAGAGTGAGTGCCGTGGCATCAGCCTAGCTCACAGCAACCTCAAACTCCTGGGCTCAAGCAATCCTACTGCCTCAGCCTCTCAAGTAGCTGGGACTACAGGCATGCGCCACCATGAACAGCTAATTTTTTTCTATATATATTAGTTGGCCAATTAATTTATTTCTATTTATAGTAGAGACGGGATCTCGCTCTTGCTCAGGCTGGTTTCGAACTCCTGACCTCGAGCAATCTGCCCTCCTCGGCCTCCCAGAGTGCTAGGATTATAGGCGTGAGCCACCACGCCTGGCTGAGATTCATTTTTAAAGTATCTTTATTTGTGTGTGGTTTGGATCTTAATCTTTTCAGTTTCTTGTCCTTTACATGATCTCCCCTCAGAAAGTACTCCTTCAAAGTATGATGTAAGCTGAGTTATAAAAAAAAAAAGAATAATAAAAAATAAAAAAAAAAGAAGGGACTCTTTATATGCATTTGTATTGAAAACTCTTTGACCAAAGTTTGTTTCTTGGTCTTTTGATGTGATGATTTCTTAGACTAAGCTGAAAAATCCTTTTGCTTGCTCTCCTAGTTCCTTATTTTTCCTCTCACCCACCCGTTCCTCACTAACATGCAGGAAGCCTGTCTAGCAGTCCAGAGGAGATGTCTGGAGCTGAAGAGGGGAGGGAGACATCCTCAGGCATTGAAGTGGAGGCCTCAGACCTGAGTTTGAGCTTGACCGGGGATGATGGTGGCCCCAACCGCACCAGCACAGAAAGTCGAGGCACAGACACAGAGAGCTCAGGTGAAGACAAGGACTCGGACAGCATGGAGGACACTGGCCATTACTCCATCAATGATGAAAACCGAGTCCATGACCGCTCAGAGGAAGAGGAAGAGGAGGAGGAGGAGGAAGAAGAGCAGCCTCGGCGCCATGTACAACGCAAGCGGGCCAACCGTGATCAGGACTCATCAGATGATGAGCGGGCCCTAGAGGACTGGGTGTCATCGGAAACATCAGCCCTGCCCCGACCTCGCTGGCAAGCCCTTCCTGCCCTTCGGGAGCGTGAGCTGGGTTCAAGTGCCCGCTTTGTATATGAGGCTTGTGGGGCAAGAGTCTTTGTGCAGCGTTTCCGCCTGCAGCATGGGCTTGAGGGCCATACTGGTTGTGTCAATACCCTGCACTTTAACCAGCGCGGCACCTGGCTGGCCAGTGGCAGTGATGACCTGAAGGTGGTGGTGTGGGATTGGGTGCGGCGGCAGCCAGTACTGGACTTTGAGAGCGGCCACAAAAGTAATGTCTTCCAGGTGAGGCAGGGGAGTGTAATAGTAACTGAGAGAATCAGGCATGAGTTAGACAAATCTGAGCTGCTACCTGGAATGGGAGCTGGAAGTGAGTTGTAGGGATTAGACATCAGGACTTGTCCCTTACTGTGGCTCCCATAATGACTTCAGTACACTGAAAGACCCCATGGCGACCGTTTGTTTCCTTGAGCATAAATAAGGACCACTGGAAGCCTTGTTATAGGTAGGATGCTTGGAACTCATCAGGAAGGTATTAAATGTATACTAGTAGGAGGCAGTATAGCATAAGAGCACAGGCTCTTGAACAAAAAACTGCCTGGGTTCAAACTGGCCCTTCCACTTACTAGCTTTGTGATCTTGGATAAGTTATTTTACCTTTGTCTTCAGTTTATTTGTCTGTAAAATGGGACTAATACATAGGGTTATGAGGATTAAATAGTTATAAAAGTATGCAGTTAGAACTATGGCTGGTACTTAATAAACATTTGCTAAATATTAGCTCATATTGTTAACTATTCTGTGGAGATTTTATTTCTCCCGCTTCATCTACTATAGTGAATACTAGCCATTTATCCCTAAGTGTGTTCTCTTTCCTTCTCCAACAAATTTCCCCTGAGTTTCCTTTTTATTTATGACAAATTTGTTTGCTTTCTGCATCAAGGTAGATTTTCCTCTTTTATTGCTTGCTTTTTTCCTCTACTAGGTATAGCTCTAGTTCACCTGAGCACTTATCATATACCAGTTCAACCTTCCAGAGCCAACCAAAATGCTCTCTTACATCAGAGGAAGTTTTTTTTCTCTCCCTTTCCTTTAACTACTGGAAGAAGTTGGGCTTAGCAAGCTGTACAAGAATAGGAAAGCTAAGTTTCCAGCTGTCATGTGAGAAAAGGTGGTAAATTGGGGTCAGTGCATTTTTACCTCTCAAATTCACCTCTTCCATTTCTTTTGTGTGTCCTTTTTCTCATTCTTAACACCTCAGGCCAAGTTCCTTCCTAATAGTGGCGATTCTACTCTGGCTATGTGTGCCCGTGATGGGCAAGTTCGGGTAGCAGAACTATCTGCCACACAGTGTTGCAAGAATACAAAACGTGTGGCCCAGCACAAGGGAGCATCCCATAAGGTAAGTAAGCACTTGCTCCAAATTTTGTGCAATCCAGATCCTCTGTGGATCTTAGCCAAGGTCTTGTCTTATCTTTGCCCATTGCATCACCTTTGTTGTGTTACCTGTCTCACTTCTTTTGGTCCTAGGATTTATATAGTTAAGGAAGTAAAAACAGCCACCCTAAACTTCTTGGAAGGCAAGTATTTGAGAGATCCCCAGATCATGCACTGATCCCCAGATCAGTTGGTTATACTTGGCCCCTAAGCTGAGCTGTGGTTAGTTTGCAGATCCTTGAGGTCTCCTGTATCCTCTAAACCTCTTAAATTTACTCTAATTGTTTTTAGAATATTTTAATAGTTCCAAGGTGCTAGTGGTTGGTTCCTCATGTGTGAGAGCATCAACTTTCCTGCTCGCAAATAGCACTATTTCTGGAAGCTCTAGTTAGAGCTGAGAATATAGGCCAAATAGTCGTGGTGGCAGCCAGCGAGGAGCTAAGAGCTGCCTTGTCTCAGGTCAGGGTAGGCATCGTTTTCTTCCACACCTGGAAAGAGGATAGTACTTTCTTCTTAAAAACCCTAAGCAAAGGCCGGGCGCTGTGGCTCACGCCTGTAATCCTAGCTCTTGGGAGGCCGAGGCGGGCGGATTGCTCAAGGTCAGGAGTTCAAAACCAGCCTGAGCAAGAGCGAGACCCCGTCTCTACTATAAACAGAAAGAAATTAATTGGCCAACTGATATATATATAAAAAAAAAATTAGCCGGGCATAGTGGCGCATGCCTGTAGTCCCAGCTACTCGGGAGGCTGAGGCAGAAGGATCACTCGAGCCCAGGAGTTTGAGGTTGCTGTGAGCTAGGCTGACGCCACGGCACTCACTCTAGCCTGGACAACAAAGTGAGACTCTGTCTCAAAAAAAAAAAAAAAAAAAACCCTAAGCAAATATGTAGGTGGACCTCGAGTATCCTTTCTAGCCCAGATGGTTTGGGAAATGTGAAAATTACCTATTTCTTTGATTCTTAAGCCTACTCCCAGCTCACAAGATAACTGGTTTTTGGGACTCAGATGTAGGGAATGAAACTTGGGCACCATTTTACTCTGTACCTGGGGTATAGAACTGATTTTATTTGAGAATGAACTCTAATGATTGGTGTTTTTCCTTGGCATTTCTATTCATATCCCTTGGGGACTTAGTTGAAATAGCAAATCACCTGTCCCTTTAACTTGTATAGAATAAACAAGCTGTAAATAATTCACACAGAACAACTGTGAGTGGGCTTAAATTATCTCCTTTCCTAGGATGTTATAACAAAAGTAGACATCTTTCTTCCTGAGATTTTTTTTTTTTTTTTTTGTTGAGACAGAGTCTCACTCTTTCGCCTGGGTAAAGTGCAGTCGTGTCATTGTAGCTCACAGCAACCTCAGATTCCTGGGCTCAAGCAATCCTCCTGCGTTAGCCTTTCAAGTAGCTGGGACTATAGGCATACACCATGACGCCTGGCTAATTTTTCTGTTTTTAGTAGAGATAGGATCTCACTCTTGTTCAGGCTGTCTCAAACTTCTGAGCTCAAGCAGTCCTCCCACCTTGGTCTTTCAGAGTGCTAGGATTACAGGCATGAGCCACTGCACCCAGCCCTTCCTAAAACATTTTAAATGCAGCCCTTCTTGAAGTTAAAAAGAATGAACCAAGTGACCTCTAATTCTAATCTTTAAAAGCCTTATCTTTTCTCTTTTTCTCTTTCAGTTGGCCCTGGAACCAGACTCTCCCTGTACGTTCCTATCTGCAGGTGAAGATGCAGTTGTCTTCACCATAGACTTGAGACAAGACCGCCCAGCTTCGTAAGTATAGCAGTAACATCTTTACAAAACTGTATCCTTTGGCCTTGAAGATATTCCATGTATCCTGGTAATGTCCAACTCTCTGGTCCATTAGAACAGTAGCATTGTGCAGATGATAAAGCGATAATTTAAGGTTTAGGGAAATTCCTTACTTCCTCTGTTTCTTAGGAGTCAAATACCTATTCAGTCTACTACCTTCATTTCTCAAACAAAATTTAGTTATCTTATTATATGTGGCCTTTCATAACTTGATAATCTTCTGTTCTCCATTCACTTGGGTGCCATTCAACTTAACACAAAGCATATTATTCCACATACTAGTTTAGAGATACGATCCTCCTATAAAGTTTTTAATTATATGTAAAAACATACAGAAAATTAAACGATAAATCTTGAACAAAAATATTGGTAGCTACAGTAGAGTTCTGTCATATCGCTGCTCATTTGTACATGAATTTGAGACTCATGGGTAAATTGTATCCCTTCTTACCTGTGTGATGTCATAGAAAGAACATAACATCTTGTTTGGGGGGATGGGCAATATACATAACCTTAACATTTGTACCCCCATAATATGCTGAAATAAGAAAAAATAATAACATCTTGTTTGGATCCAGAAAGACCTAGATCAAATCTCAACTCAGGCACTTACTATTTATGACTTATATAACCTTCCACATCTCAGTGTCTTCAGTCTTACTCTGGACATAATATCCTCCCAAGTCCCTGGGGTTTCTATGAGGATTTTTTTTTTTATTGTCCCTTTCCTTTTCCTTCCCCTTCTTTTCCCCTTCCCTTCTCCTCCCCTTCCTCTCCCCTCCCCCCTTCTCCCTCCCCTTCTCCTTCTCTTCTCTTGACAGGGTCTTGCTCTGTCACCCAGGCTGGAATGCAGTAGCCCAGTGGTAGTTCACTATAACCTCGAATTCCTGGGCTCAAGCAATTCTCCTGCTGAAGCTTCCTGAATAGCTAGGACTACAGGCACCACTATGCCCACCCAATTTTTGTGTGTGCATGTATAGAGATGGGTCTTGCTATGTTGCCCAGGCTGGTCTGAATTCCTGCCCTCAAGCAATCCTCTCAGCTCAGCCAACCAAAGTGCTGGGGTTACAGGCATGAGCCACACTGTGCCTGGCTTTCTGTGATGATTGTTGGTGTGTGTGTGTGTGTGTGTGTGTGTGTGTGTGTGTGTGTGTTTGTGTTTGTGTGTGTGTGTTTGTACACACACACACACACACACACGTATTAGATGCCCCAGTATAGTGTCCCACACGATGGCTGGAATTAAGTTGTAGCTACTACAGGGTGTCCCAAAAGTCTCCATACAAAGGGAAAATATTGTAAAATTTTGTAATGAGTATTTTGTAAATAAAGGTACATTTAGCTACAATTTCCCATTTTCCCTACATATGGCAACTTTTGGGATACCCTGTATTATACTTATTTTAGATTCCCTTTTTCATTTTATTGCTCTTATAATAAATAAATACATATCAAGAGATTCAAATAATAAAGTATAAAGACAAAATTTAAGTGTTCTCTCCTGTACCTCCACTCCTTGTATTTCTAGCTATTGCTGTTATTAGTAATTTGGAACACCTTTCAAGTCCCTTTTGTATACATTTATGTACCTAAATATATCCATATACTTTTTCCCATAAATGGGACAATTACATTTATATATAAACATACACATATGTATGTTTCCTCAATTTGCTTTTTTCTTATTATGATGTGTCTGACTTTTCTATGTCAGACCATGAAAGCTTACTTCATTTTTAACCATGGCATACATGTCATTGGTGTAACACAGTTTATTTTACCACTACCTGGTTGATGGGTCTCTAGTTTATTGATTGTCCTGTGAGTCTCAAAAATTATTATAACAAATCTTGGAGGTCAGTACCAGTGTTGAGTAAGGGATGTCAGTGATTTACATAGGAGTAAAATATAAATTAGTTTAGGAAACATAATCTGAAGGCTGATTGTTATTAGACCTTTATTTTATATAACCATCAAGAAGATGAAGGTTGGAAGATGATGGACTTATACTGGAAAAAAAATAAGCCTAAGTGCCAAAGGGTCTGCCTTCTAGTACTAGCTCTGCAGTTACATAGCTTTGAGAAAATCATTTAATCTCTTGAACTGAATGATGTTTATTATTTCCATTTCTGAAGTTCTGGGGTTCTGTGATGATAATGGAACATTAGTAGGTTTTCCATAGGGAATGTTCCCATGGTAGAGCAAAAATGCAAGAAATGATAATGAGTTTGTTTGATCTGCTGTGTTAGAGAGTTGTGAATCAGAATGAGATCTTACCCTGTGGATCAGGTTCAGAGGGAAACTACTGTTAGGCCACAAGGAATTGGGAATCTGGTTAAAGGAATGAGTAGAGCAAATGATTCTGGCAGATTATTGAATTTGGAATGAAATGATACAGGCATAAAATCTGGCTGAGAGTTGACCATGGATCTGGACACAAGCAATCATCAGTATAGAAACTAAAGGGGATGAACACAGAATGTGATGTAAAAAAAAAAAAAAAGAAAAAAAGAAACTAAAGGGGGGAACATGAGAGAAACTTACGAGTAGAAGGAAGCCCAAATCCTACATTTGAGGAATAAGAGACAGTCTTCAAAAAGTTTTTGCGTTAGGGATAGAAAAAATAGTGTTACAGCCTGGAATGGTGTGGAGGGCAGATTGTGAAAGTCATAGCCAGAAAATCCAACCCATCTTTATATATTAAACTGATGCCTGAGCATCTGCTTATATCAGAGGCATTTTTGTGTAAGGTTGGCATAGGGGAATTTTTCTTTTGTATATATATGATAGCTGAGTCTCTAGGAGCTGGTGAAATTGGTGAGCTGGTGAAACATCTTAGGAAATGAGTTTGATTTGAAACTGTGAATGGGATACTCCTTTAGGCAGTGGAATCCAGTTTGAGGTATTCTTCAAAAGAATCCTTTGGTCTAATCAGTAATTATCTTTCCCTTTTTGCTGGGACAATACCTGCTCATTAATTTTAAGGCAAAATTTGGCGAATTTGTTTTGTATGGTTTCCTCCAATGTGAAAATGTTTTTCTCCTTATTGCCATGATTAATCATTTTTATAGCACCTCTGCATGTTCCCGGAGAGCTCAAGGCACTCTGCATTTATCCATTGGGAGAGAAATGTTTTAGGGAAATATATTGAAGCATAGAAAAATGGAGCTCTTTGTTAGGATTATGTAACAGTGGAGCCAGTACTTCATAATCTACCCCTTAGTTTCTTCATTTTGCTTCTACATGGTAACTTTTGTATCTGTCTGACCTTGTCCTTCTGAAAATTCAAATTGTTGAGGAAATGAGATGGCCCTTGGAAAAGGAGCAGCATCACCTCCTACTCCTTTTCCCTGTCTAAAATGCAGATTATGCTGCCTCTGCTTAGCTAGTTTTGTTCCTGAAACTGTTATTTTGACCCGTTTTCTGCCTTGTGTTTTTGAGGGGTGTTGGGTGGGTTCATTTAGTGACATTTTCAGTGACCTCTGTATTCTTTTAATGGAAACCTGCAAAGAGTTTAAATCAAAGAAAATCTCTCCACTTTGCCTAGAGCAGGTCTAGGCTGGAGTGACTTTGACCATGCAGAGAGGATGCTAAAATCATTTCGTTACAAAGAAACTTGCTGTCATAATTATGTGTGTTTTTGTTTCCATGGCATCAGAAACTAGTAAAATGTTACGATTAAAAACAAAATCTAAAGCCAAGCCCCTTCCTGTAGTTTCTTGAAGTCTTTCTTTTCCTATAAATTTATTAATCTTCACAATGTCATAGACTGGTTGGACACTTAGATATGGGAAGAATATTTATATTATTGCCCTTAAGCTGGGACAAATTATATTTGTTTAGCCAGATTCTTCTGACTAACTTGAAGTTTTCTAGGGTTTTAAAATTTTTTATTTCAGAATATTATGGGGATACAAATGTTTTGGTTACATAAATTGCTTTTGTACAGTTTTCTAATGTTTCCTCAGGACCTCATGCCCTCCTGAGGATCACCTGTCTTGTGTTACAATGAGAATAATTTAGAAATGCTCTTATAAGAATCCCCTTTCCTAATTTGCTTCAGATAAGGGAAGAATGCTGTTTTCCTTTGGGTTGACCCTATGTTAGAAAACTGTGGGCTGGGCGCAGTGGCTCACACCTGCAATCTTAGCATTTTGGGAGGCTGAGGTGGGAGGATCACTTGAGGTCAGGAGCTTAAGACCAGCCTGAGCAAGAGCAAAACCCTGTCTGTTCTAAAAATAGAAAAAATTAGCCAGGTATGGTGGCACGCATCTGTAGTCCCAGCCACTCTAGAGGCTGAGGCAGGAGGATTGCTTAAGCTCAGGAGTTTGAGGTTGCTGGCTAGGCTGATGTCATGGGACTCTAGCCTGGGTGAATAGAGCAAGACTTGTCTCAAAAAAAGAAGAAAAGAAAACTATGCCTTGTTATTTTTCAGTATACTTTTTTTTTTTGGTTTTGTTTTTTTGAGTCAGTATCTCACTATATTGCCCAGGCTGGTCTCAGGCTCTTGGGCTCAAATGATCCTCCTGCCTCAGCCTCCCAAGTAGCTGAGACTACAGACACACATTAGCGTGCCCAGTTAGTTTTTTTTTTTTATTTTTTTAGAGATGGGGGTCTTGCTATGTTGCCCAGGCTGGTCTTGAACTCCTAGCCTCAAGAGATCCTCTTGCCTCACCCTCCTCAGTTCATTGTTCATTTTTACAACTGGGTTTTTTTTTTTTTTTGGTACAAATGTTTAGGTTACATACAACTGGGTTTTAAGTGATATTTTTTCTGGAATTTGGAAGATAGACTCTGACCTTTAGATATCGGAAGATATTTTTCTGGAATTTGGAAGATAGACTCTGACTCTGAAGGTCTTTTTTACCTTAAGGTCTTTTTTTAGCCCACATTTTCTGTGATTCTTCCTCCACCCCCTCTTTGTTTCCAGGTGATTGGGAAGATGTATGGGTAGTATTGCCTGTTTAATGACTGATTGTTACTGTGTTGGACTGCAGCTAAACTGAAGCTTCCTAAGGAATAGCACATAGATATACCTTTAGCTTATGCTTTTTAAGGAATGCTAGAAAATGACTTTACTACATTTGTTTTTCCCAATACCCAAAGTGGCATATAGTAAATGTATATGCTTTTCTTGTGCCAACATTCAAAATAAACAAAAAACCAAAAAGCTTTTTTTTTCTTTCCAAATGAGAATCTCTTTGGTTTCTTATTAGCCATGTCTATATTACTCTCTTGGCTGTCACTTGCCATGACTATCTGGATCTTTTGGAGAATATAACTTTGTATGTTCTTCTACTTAAGGAAACTGGTGGTGACAAAAGAAAAAGAGAAGAAGGTGGGGCTGTATACAATCTATGTGAATCCTGCCAATACCCACCAGTTTGCAGTGGGTGGACGAGATCAATTCGTAAGGTAAGTTTGTGGCTCTTTTGTATCTTTGATAGTTTGAAATGCTGATTTATTTGTGTACTCTTAGGTTCTCCCTATGGAGAGGTGTGAATTGCCAGGGAATCCATTAACCATCATCTTGAATTTTTTTAAGTGCCATTTGAGGTGTTCTCTTCCCTAATGTAACCATCTCTGAGGGGTGGCTTTACATATTATATAAATTATCAAGTTTTAGAGAGGTTTGATGAATTGACCAAGGTTACCACATAGCATCTAAGGTGTTAACACGTTTACCAGCAAGTGCTGTATTAGTAAATAACTTCTACCATTTTCATATATAAATTAACATGCACTTGAAATTCTGAATACTGGTTTTGAATTCAGAAATAGTTTGACTTGGGAACACTCAGTTTGAACTGAAGGTTTTTGCCTCGCACTGTCCTAAACCATTTTTCTTTATCCATAGTGATATCTTTATTACTGTGAACATCTGTAGTAACACTGGCTATTGAGATATCCTAAAGAAAACAGATGTCATGGATTCAATCCCTATATGTACCTGTTAATTTCCTCTGATCCTTGGTAATAAACTGTATCCCTATCCAGTTGGCCTACTTAAACTATATTTCTTTATATATTACCTGTGGCCACTTTCACACTATAATGGCTGAGTTCAGTAGTTGCAATAAAGATTAGATTGTCTGCGAGCTTGAAATATTTATTGTCTTGTCCTTTAAGAAAAAGTTTGCCATCCCTTGGTCTAACATCATATCTAGAATATAGTAGATTATTAATACTTATGGAAGAAAGGAGAAGGAAGGTAAGGATATCCCTATAAAAAAGAAGGACAAAGAGTATTAGATACTGAGGAACATAAAATGGTTCATACATCAAAAAGACCAGCCGAGGCAACACAGTAAGACCTTGTCTCAAAATAAAAAAAAAACATCAGTGAAGATATTTAAGCAGGAAATTTATATGAAATTTTGCATTTTAGATATAATTCTGGTGACAGTATGAGCAAAGGAATCAGAAGAATACTACAGTAATCTAGGCAAAAAATGACAAGGGGTAGAGAAGCAAATATAATTAAAAAATATACCCAGAGAGTAGAATTGACAGGAAAGAAAGGACCTGATTTCTGGTTTGGCCACTTGAATGTAGGGTAGTGTTATATTAACAAAGATTCAGGGGGCAAAGTATAGACTTAGAATGAGTTTAGTTCTGGAAGAAGGAGAATGAGTTTACTTTTGGGCATCTCAATGTTACACATAATTATAACATTATAGATATTATATCCATTTGTTAAGTAGATAAAAATTGAGAGCTCAGAATAAACGTGATCTGGAGATACAGATTTAAGTCATGTATCCATGTATAGGTGGTAGTTAAAGCATTGATAATGGAATTTGATAACCAAAGGAAAGTATGGGGTAAGGTTTTTCCCCCTTTTGAGTCTCTGGTCCCTTTGAGAATATAGTCCCTTCTCCCCAGCACACAAACACAGTTTCTTCAGAGGTTCACATACTACTTTGACTTCATGTTAAATTTCCCTAGTATAGAATCAGATAAGAGCTTAAAAGCTGCTGGAGAACTTCATCATTTAAAGGCTGGACAAAGAAAGACAAACCCATGAACAACATTGAGAAGTGGTTGGACACCAAGGAAAGAAGGTGTCTCATGGAAGGAGTAGTGAACAGTGTCATGGCTAGAGAAAATGGCTTGAAAAGTATCTTGTTGGCTTTGGCAGTTAGGATACCGATGACTTCAGCCAGAGAAGTTTCAGCAGTGAGTTGAAGACCAAAGCCAGATTAGGATGGGTTGAGAAGTGAATAGGAAATAAGGGAGTGAAAATCTTGAATGTTGGTTGTTCTTTTCAGTAATTTGACTGCAAGGAGGGGAGAGAAAAGGCAATAGTAGGTAAGGACAGTAGAACGATTTTTAGAAAGTGGGCAGGTGGTGATTAGGAAGAGATTGAGAAAAGGACTAAATCAAACAAGGTCCTTGGAGGCGTGAGATTAATAACAGATGTCCAGGTCAGGCGCAGTGGCTCACGCCTGTAATCCTAGCACTCTGGGAGGCCAAGGCGGGTGGATTGTTTGAGCTCAGGAGTTCAAGACCAGCTTGAGCAAGAGTGAGACCCCGTCTCTACCAAAAATAGAAAGAAATTACTTGACCAACTAAAAATATATAGAAAAAATTAGCCAGGCATGATGATGCATGCCTGTAGTCCCAGCTACTCGGGAGGCTGAGGCAGAAGGATTGCTTGAGCCCAGGAGTTTGAGGTTGCTGTGAGCTAGGCTGACACCATGGCACTCACTCTAGCCTGGACAACAAAGTGAGACTCTGTCTCAAAAAAATAAATAAATAAAAAATAATAAATAAATAAATAAATAACATGTCCAGAGATAGGCTTTGAGATCAGAGGAGACTGATGAGTGAGGACAGGGACTGGGTCTGTCTTGTTCTTCCCTGTATTTCCAGCACCTGACATAATATTCGACATAAAATATGTGTTTCATAAATACTTGATTTAAAGCTTAGATTGTGTAATTGGTTGAAGAAAAAGAAAAAAAATAAAGCTTAGATTGGAGAGAGGTGGGAAGGTGAAGGTAGTTTGCTTGATGGTAATGAAGAGAGGAGAAGGGAGTCTTAAGGAGATAGGTGATGGTTTGTAATAGTTGTAGTGTTTGAGAGGGAGAACTGACCATATAGAAGGTTTCAAGGAGGGATTGAAGACCCACTGACTTATATTAATCACGGTCTCTGATGATGAGTAATAAACCCTTTTGTGTAATATACATATATATATATATATATATATATATATATATATAAAGCTCTAAAATAGGCTGGACATGGTGGCTCACACTTGTAATCCTAGTACTTTGGGAGGCCAGAGCGGGAGGATCATTTGAGCCCAGGAGTTCAAGACCAGCCTGAGCAAGAATGAGACCCTGTCTTTACCAAAAAAAAAAAAAATAGGTGGACATAGTGGCGCACACCTATAATCGCAGCTACTGGGGAGGCTGAGACAGGATGATTGCTCGAGCCCATGAGTTTGAGTTTGCAGTGAGCTATGATGATGCCACTGCACTCTAACCAGGGCAACAGAGTGAGACTCTATTCCCCTCCCCCCCCCAAAAAAGAAGGAAAAAACCATGTCTATAATTGTTACTTTTTTCAGTAAAAATTAACAGTAAGTGATACAAAAGTTGAGAGATAAACCACTTCCAACTGACAGAGGATTGAGGATTGCCCCTTGAAATGGGAAGTACTTGGATTAAAGAGGGTTTGGAAATGGATTGGGGAAGGGAGGACCTCTAAGGAAGAGCATAAACAAAAAGCTTTCTGGGAAAATGTCTTTTATATGTTTCCAGTTGGCTGCTGCTTTGCCACTGCATCAAATTGCAGCTCTTCAAAGGACCAGTTTGTAAGTTATGACATTTTCATTGCTTCTTCCACTATAGGATTTATGACCAGAGGAAAATTGATGAGAATGAGAACAATGGAGTACTCAAGAAATTCTGTCCTCATCACCTGGTAAGATTCATGAAAGGCCAGTGGCTCTAGGCTTCCCTCACTTGACCCCAAGGCTGCACCTGAACTTGTTGGTATAATGGGAAGAGCTTGGACTTTTGAGTCAGTAACCTGGATTTGAATCCTGGCTTTTCCACTTACCAGCGTGTGATCTTGGGCAGTCACTTCACCTCTGTTAGTTTCAGTTTTTTAAATCAACAAAATGGAGATAACAATAACTGCCTTGCACCATGACGATGAGGCCTAATGAGACAGTGTATATAAAATGGCTGGCACACAGCAGACAACCAAGAGAAGGTCCTAAGACTTTCCTCCCCGCGGTGGTCACATTTCATCAGTTGTACTCCTGTCTCTGTCTGTCTTTCTCTCAATTTTTGGGAGAAGATATAGGGGAGTTTGAAGGAAAGCCTATTTCCTGAAGGTGGTATAACAAATGGGGGGGTGGGGCATCAGTCAGTATCTGCTCCTTATTGCAGGTGAACAGTGAGTCCAAAGCAAACATCACCTGTCTTGTGTACAGCCACGACGGCACAGGTACGTGAGCAGGGCCCAGCTCCTAGGCTGGCATGCCCCCTCTGTCTAGGGAGCTGCTGAGCCAGTGAGGCATGTGCCCTCCAGTGCTCACCACTGTGCTATAGCTCCAAGTGGAGCAGCTGGGGAGTAGCTGCTGATGGTGAGCACGTAGTGGGAGGATGCAGCAGATGACCCTTGGAGATGCCAGGCACCATTTGCAGAATGCTGCAGATGATATTTGGCAGGGCCTGTCCTGAAACCCAGGCTCCTTGCCTGAGCAGATTCTCATGCCTTTGACTCATTACTGAGTTAATGGGTATGATTTTTTTCTGAGCATTCTGCTACCCCTGGGTTGGCAGTATGTTCCTAGTCTACCCTGACTTGCCTGCTGTTCCATCTAAGATGGGTGCTATACCTGGGTATTTGGAGGGGGCACTACTGGCAAGAAGCCCCACCCCAACCCCCAATTCCTGGTCCCTGCTTTTTTCAGCCTTTGCCTTCACTGCTTTGTTCTTGTTCTTGGCAGAGCTCCTGGCCAGTTACAATGATGAAGACATTTACCTCTTCAACTCCTCTCACAGTGATGGGGCCCAGTATATTAAAAGATATAAGGGCCACAGAAATAATGCCACAGGTGAGACTGTCTTTCTAGGTTTCTGTAGCCCAAGTCTGTTGGCTTGGGGAACCATAGTATCTCATTGAGATTGTGCAGATGAGAACTATCTGAGAAGTAGGCTTCCTGTCATCACTGTGGGCAGTGAGAGGTTATCCTGAATTGGGCTAGAGTTACCATGTTTTCTCCACTGTGCTAGAGGGGAGGAGGGCTTAAAGAGCATCTCTCACCACTGCAGTGATGTTGCTTCTAATTGGTGGGCATAAGGAGACTAGACTTTTTGTTTAATGATTTCAGGTAACTTCAGAATTGGCACAAATGCCTTATTAGGGAGTCAGGAAAAGCCTTCTTTAGTTAATGGTATTGAATTGCCTAAAATGGGGGTGAGCTTGTACCTCTATGGAAGGAGGAGTAAAGGATTCTTCTGAATGAGGCAGAGAATGAGGAATGGTGGTAGTACCTAGCCCTAGATTCCTCTTTTTGTTCCATGTCCATGGTTCCCAAACTTTGGGGCATATTGGAGTCACCTGATAGTCTTTTAAAAATACATCTGCCAGGGTTGGGCGAGGTGGCTCACTCCTGTAATCCTAGCACTCTGGGAGGCCAAGGCGGGTGGATCGCTCAAGGTCAGGAGTTTGAAACCAGCCTGAGCAAGAGCAAGACCCCGCCTCTACTAAAAATAGAAATTAATTGGCCAACTAAAAATAAATAGAAAAAAAAAATTAGCCGGTCATAGTGGCGCATGCCTGTAGTCCCAGCTACTCAGGAGGCTGAGGCAGGAGGATCGCTTGAGCCCAGAGTTTGAGGTTGTTGTGAGCGAGGCTGACGCCACGGCACTCTAGCCTGGGCAACACAGCAAGCCTCAGACTCAAAAAAAAAAAAAAAAAAAAAATACAGCTGCCTGGCCTTAACCCCATACATCTGATTGAATTCATATGGGGGACAACTTGAGCATTGGGATTTTTAAAAGCTACCCATGTGATTCTGATGTGCAGAAAAGTTGAGGAATCACTGCTCTTTGTTATTATTACCACTCTTAACAGATATCTGTCAATAATTTTGGAGACAGCAGTTAGCAGTTAGTTTTCCTTTTTTTCTTGAGCTGATGAGAAGGGAGGGAAAAAATCTGTACTTTTATCTCAGTCCACAGGCAGACAAAAGGAAGAGTGCCAGTCTCATGGCCAGTATGGTATTGGCCATAATAATTAGGGCTCCTGGCTTAATTCTAGAGATGGAGCCATGTTATTTGGAGTCCTGGCAGCAAGCATAGTTCACTTCCTTACAAGCAATTGCAGCATATACCTTCATCAGTCTCAGATTAACTGATGACCCAAGAAACAACTGACAAGGTACCAATGAAGTACACATATCAAGGATAATCCTAGGGCATAGGACAGTGCTGCCTAGGAATGGGCAGAGCTGGGGCAATTCAGGTTGGGATAGGTTAGGCATTAGTGAGGCCTGTGGTTATCTGATAGAGTGGGACTAATGGGACTGAGGCTGTTGCTAAGGGACTGCAGACTCCTGCCCTATGGAGATCTCTGGGAGAATATAAATAGTTTCTGGGATTGGTGTGATTCTTGCAACTATCTGTTATACACACATAATCTCTTGATTTGTTTTGTGAAAATGAATTATTTGGCTCTCAGCTGATTTAGAGTTTGTGAATAACTAAATTCCCTGTGAGATAAATATATATAGGACTGATGCCAACCTCATGTGGTCTGTTCTCTCATTTATCATTTCAGTAAAAGGCGTCAATTTCTATGGCCCCAAGAGTGAGTTTGTGGTGAGCGGTAGTGACTGCGGGCACATCTTCCTCTGGGAGAAATCATCCTGCCAGATCATTCAGTTCATGGAGGGGGACAAGGGAGGCGTGGTGAGTATGATGTGCTGGGCTGGCTGGCTCCCTAGTCTCTTCAGTCATTAAGGTAGGTTTTAGCAGAGCCACTGAATGTTCACTGGGATTATGTGATACCATGTCTTAGAGGTCTGGCCAGCTAAATTAGAAGGCAGTATAAGGCCAGGTGCAGTGGCATGTGCCTGTAGTCTCAGTTACTTAGGCTGAGGTGGGAGGATCACTTGAACCCAGGAGTTTAAGTCCAGCCTTGGCAACATAGTAAGACCCTGTTTCAAGGAAAAAAATTTAAAAAGGCAGTAGCCTGGAGGTGCTGAGGTTTTAATGGAATATTTTCTTCCTTTTCCTGTCTTCTATCCCTCTAAGGCATGGTTTCTTGAGAAGAGAAAGAGATCTTAGGGAAGAACTTCTGTTCTAAGTGAGATAACATATCTCTAGGCGTGGACCTTTTCTAAAAGAAAAGTGGTGGAGTGCATACCCTCCTATACAGATGCTAAAGATGTCTCCATGTCTAGTTCTTTAGGTTGACTAAGTAGCAATCTTGTCTGGAACCTACATCAGCAGATAAAACTAGAACATTTTTTAGACAATTGGGGAAATCAGAATATGGTTTATACATTAGGTAATATGATATTCAGTATTAAATTTATTTGATTGGATAATCTATTTATATAGGAGAATATCCTTTTAGGAGATACATGTTGAAGTATTTAGGAGTGAAATGTGCTTACATTTAAATGGATACAAAGATACACATGATATATATGTTTATATATAGGGAGAAGGCAAATGTGGCAAAATATTTTTTTTAAAAAGTGGCTGAGCAGCCTGCTTGCTATATAACCCATGATCCTATCACAGTCAGCCTGTCCTTTGAGTTCCACAGACAACCTTTGTGGACATAGGGCAAAAAGGAAGAGGATCGAATTCGGGAATGAAAAGTGATCAGCTCTTAAGATGTATCTAGTTAACTTTATTTTTTATTTTTTTGAGACCCAGAGTTGGGAAAGAATTCAGTAGCTTTCTGTAATTAGGCTTTTGTATTACAGAAGATAGGAAGAGATTAGAAGACTAGATTGTACTGATTACCCAAGATAGCCTCGTTACCCAAGGCCTTTAAGGAATGACTGAGATGGCTTGATCTCTCTTTTAATTCCTTCTAAGCTGTGGGAAATTCATAGATCTCAGTCATCTCTTGATGAGGTTTATTCAGAAAGTGGTTTTAGAATTTTGAATGGTTCCTCGTAATCAGGATTCCATTCTTTCTTGTGGTTTTTCTTGCCCTGGTATGAGGGTATTTCAGATTTTCTTCTGGTTTTCTCTAAATTTGGGGGACCTGGGATCTAAATAGATCTAGGACTTTTGTGACCTGTGAATATAAGTGGAGAGGATTCTAGAAGTTCAAGATGTGTCTTACTCTTCCCTGCTTCATTTCCTACTCTTCCATAGGTCCCCCACTGTCATCTGCAGTGAACAAACCCAAAACACTGGAGTTTTAATGAGATTTCTGCAATAGGCATGTAGTCAGAAGGAAGTCAGAAGGTGCCAGTGAATCCTTTCTTGATCATAAACTATTGTCTTGCATTCTGTTCCAGAGAGATGCAGGGCTGAATGCCTTCTCCCAGGCCAACACTTGTCCGTTCTCCAAAAGCACTCTGCAGGCCAGTTTCCTTTGATCTCAGCCAGTACCAGGGTTTGATGTTTAATCCAGGTGCTCAGGTGGGGAGGGCATCTACTTGGAATGGGTGGGCCCCAGGCCTAAGTTACAGTGGTCCTAAGAATGAAAGAGTAGTATAAGAGATACAGAGCCTACTCCCTGAAGTGATTTCCCTTGCTTGTTCTTGCCTCTGTGTAAGCTGAGTGATCCACATGGTCGTCACTTGGCTCCCTCTGGTTTTTTTGTGTGTTCTAAGCTTCCAGCAATGGGGGTCACCCAGGCACCAGCCTCAATGTAGACTCATAGCAGTTCTGTATCATAAAGCAAATGTTAGAACCAAAAGGGATCTTAGAAGTTGTTGTCCACCTTGCCTAGGTCTCCTGACTCTGTTTTTGAGTCTTTTCTTCGTTCCTATTCAACTTCATAGGGACAAGGGTGGGGGATGATGTCAGAGGACAACTCCTAAGTCTCCCAAGAGCACTTTGATGCTTGATCCCATTCTCTGCATTCCCCCAGCCCAGTCATCTAAGGCCAGAGCTCTTTTCTCTGCTCAGGCATTATTGACAGGATAAGTCCTGGCATTCAGACAGGTCTGGTGACGTGACCAGGTACCCTGGCCCAGAAGTTCTCTGTCGGCTCCCCCAGCAGGCTCCAACTCAGGTACTGTATGTAATTTATTCTCTTGTTCCTCTTGCCATTGGCTTTGTTCTTGGTTTTAAGTTCAAAGGAATTGTTCCTCTGGGCTTTTTTATTTTGCTGACTTATGCAAACAGAGCTAGCTCAGAGTACAGAGCTCTATAGCAAGGGCTTATCAGAAGATGGATGAGTAAGGTCAGGTTGTGTGTGGAAGTTGCTGCATATCTTTTGATAATATTTCTAGGCAGTGAAGTTTTTTCCTAGTTCCTCTTCATGCTCCAAATGCACTGCCTGAAAGAGCCCAAACAGAAACTTTGCAATGAGCTTATATGTAGAATGGGGAAGGAGAAAAGAATGGGCTTTACTTCTAGGCTCAGACTTAGCTTCGGTCTTTTGTGAGCATTGGTTTGTTTGTTTGTAAAATGGAAGTCAAAGAAAGAAAGCTGTAGGTCAGCTCTATTTTCCATGTCTGTCCTTGGCTTCTCCTCAGCTGCTGTGCAGGCAAGGCAAGGGAAGCTGGTCCAGAAAGAACTAAAAGAGGCTTTTTGCCAGGGGTTGTTTTCTTGGACTCCAGGGCAGCTGCAAGGCGGAGTGCCTTTCCTGTGTGTTCCTCATCTGACTAAAAGCTTGAAAATGCTTTAGCAGTTAGATCTGGGACTAGCTCTTCCGGTAGGGATGGGAACTGCCCTACCCTGCTAGGGAAGCTCCTGTTTCCAAGTCAGACAGCAGGGGGCATGAGTGCTTTCAAACAGAAGGAAGCTGCCTCAGCCACAGGCCTGCCTGCCATAGTTCATTTCTTCTGTTCAAGAAGGTACCCAGAGCGTGGCTGAGATTGAGGCTGTGGGGCCCCAGGAAGCTGCCTTGTACCATCCTGCCCTGTAGTTGAGCTGTTGTGCTGTGAGGGCAGGTAGGAGGATGTTGCTCCCTGGGATGTGCATGCTTCTCTCAAGCAGACATGAGCCTTCATCACCTCCACCCCCTAGCTCAGCCTCCTCTTCTCAGCCTATGCCTTCCTCCAGTTCTAGTAAACACTGCCAAATAAGTGTAATTGTTCTCTGACTCTTCTCTGGGGGCTCAGTGGCAGCTGCTGCTTTCTTCATTTTTTAAAATTTATTTGCCACTTTGTGAAAGCCACTGAGATGGTTTTTTCCAGCCTTGGGCAAGTTGGAGCTTTGGAATCTGGAGTAAATGAGGTCATCTGGATCTTACTGTGTTTTTGTGAAGCCAGCAGTAAGCTTGGTCAGTTACTCGGCCTCCCTTAGGGCTATATCTGGGGATGAAGCCACCTCTGACTTATACATAGGAAATGATAGATGTGCCTCATCTTATACCCAGTCTGTGTCCGGTGTTTACTCTCAGGGCCCTTTGGCCTAGGCTCAGGATGGGTGGGCCTGCCTTTCCAGCAGCTGCCTCAGCCCTGATCAAGGGCAATTATTCGGCTTAAGGTGAGTAGTGATTTTTAAACCCTACTCCCACATACCCCTGAATCTGTATTTTCCTTTCTTCCTAACCAGGTAAACTGTCTTGAGCCCCACCCTCACCTACCTGTACTGGCAACCAGTGGCTTAGACCATGATGTGAAGATCTGGGCACCCACAGCTGAAGCCTCCACTGAGCTGACGGGGTTAAAAGATGTAAGTAGCTGACTGCAGAAGTTCTTTTCTTTCTACTTTTCCACATATTGTTATGATTCTTTGTTGTCATAGGAAGGAATAATTTGCTGCCCAGTTCTTTAAAGGTAATGCTTTAACCCTCCCTCCCCCATTCCTGTCCTTGCTGCTGTAGGAATAGTCCTACTCCAAGGGGCAGCTGTGAAGTGCCACTAGTTGGGAGTAGGTTGGAGTAGGGAGCATCTTCAAGAATTATCCTATTTTAAAGCCTCCCACTTTCTCAATGGCTGAACCCAGGGCATCCTTCCTAATTTACTCCACTTCAGCTTAACTTTTATCGGGATTGAACACCAGCCTTCTTGATCAAGTCCAGGGTTCCTTTACATTGCTGCCCCCACCCCCAACCCTTTTGGGTTCCAGGTAATTAAGAAGAACAAGCGGGAGCGGGATGAAGACAGCTTGCACCACACTGACCTGTTTGATAGCCACATGCTCTGGTTCCTCATGCATCACCTGAGACAGAGACGCCATCACCGGGTAAGCTGGGGTTGAAAGTGAGCTCCCAAGGGCAGCGACCCTCTCAAGAGGGCTAAAAAGTTGCAGAGTAGTGACTTTAAGGAAAAATCAGGTCTTGGTTGGGTTTCCTATCCATTGTTCCTTATCTCCATCAGATCCCTGATATAGCCTTGAAAGAGCCCACCAGCAGAAAAGGGTGGTTTCTTCTCTTATTCTCCATCGTCATACAAGCATAGTGCTATCTTCATAAAGGCAAAGGCAAGAGGGTGGGGAAGGAGTTGAGAAGAAATAAGTCTCAGGGTAACCCTTCTGTTTTTCCTTTTATGCCAAAAGAGGTCCAGGACAGGGGTTGGCAAACTGGCAGTTGACATGCTGCTGGTTTTTGTAAATAAAATTTTATTGGAATGCAGCCACATCCATTCTGCGTATTGTCTATGGCTGCTTTCATGCTACAGTGGCAGAATTGAATAGTAGTGACAAAGACCGTATGGTCTACAAGTCTAAAATATTTAGTATCTGGCCCTTTAAGAAAAATTCTGCTGATCCCTGTCCTAGAGCATCTGAATTCTAGCTAAGACTTAACAGGCTTGTCCTTGTTCCATCAAGGGAAGTTACTAACAAGCCTTTCCCATCCCACAGCGCTGGCGAGAACCTGGGGTTGGGGCCACAGACGCGGACTCTGATGAGTCTCCCAGCTCCTCAGACACATCGGACGAGGAGGAGGGCCCCGACCGGGTGCAGTGCATGCCATCCTGAGGCCTCGTACCTAGGTGGGGCGGGCTGGGGCTACCAACCCGATCCTGCCTGGGCAACCCTTTCCTCTCCCGGGCCCTTACATTCAGCAGAAATGCACTTTGGACTTTTTGCTTTAGATAAAAGAAAGACATCCCAGGAGAAGGACAAACCAGAAAGGAATGAACCAACAGAGAATACCTAGGAATGGGAGTTGAGCCCTGAAATGGGGTTCCATGGAAAGGTGCATAGGACTCAGCAGAAATGGCCTCTACTCAAAGCCTCTTTTTGCGGGGGGAAGAGGAGAGCCTATTTTGTTAACTGGTTTGGGATAGGGTATGGGGTTTCTTTTTCTTTAATCTCCCTTGTTTCTTGGGCAGGGGGGTGGGGGGAACACCTGGCTATTCAGTACCAAGGGGCCAGAGTGGGAAGTAGAAGTGCCACTCTGTCTTTGGTTTAGGTTTTGACCTTTTTTTCCTTTGTTTTTTTAAAAGTCTATGACAGTTTCATTGTTTCCCCCCTAACAACCCCATCCCAGGATCCAGTTTTTTCTGGGAAGTCCTTAGAGTCCCTAAACATCCCACACTCTTCACTTTCCTTTCCACCTCATTCATTCTCTGTACTTATCACAGTGTTTTGCACTTGATTGTGTATCCTTCACTCTCTTCTCTTCATCCCATCACCCCCTAAATAAGTTAGGTGAGTGAGGTTGGGGAGAAGTGGGAGGAGGGGCAGAGGTGGAGAAAGAATAGGAAGGATGTTACCTCTTATATTATTTAAAAAAAAAGTTGTTTGATGGCAGCAATCTCCCTGTCCCTATCACTGTTAGAGGCCTAATTTTATATCTATAAATATATTAAAAAGCAAGTCAAACTTGGATGTATCAAGGTAAAATTGTCAAAGTTTAAATACCTATATATTCTCTATGAATGCAATAAAGGGACTTAAAGGAAGAGCGAGCGAGAGTAATGATGTGGAGGTGACACCTGGGTCAGCTTACTCACTGTATGGCCATTAATGATTGGGGCTTATCCCTGAGGTTTTAGGAGGCTCAAGAATGGAAGGATCCTCAGTTCTTCCCTTCCCCACTTCCCTGCCTTGGTGTGGGATTTGGGAAAAACAGGAAATTTCTCTCAACTCTTTGCCTCACATCTCCTACCTCTCCTTAAATCTTATGGGGGTCCCCAGGATGGTTCTTTTAACCTGAGGCTGGCCTGTCTTTAAAACTTGACTGAACTATGACTTCAAGAAGGGTGCCGCCACTGCAGACTCTTTCTGGTACTGTTTATGACAGAAGACACACACATACACACACAGAGTCTCTTACCTTTAGCTGCTTTGATTCTTTAAGCCATCCAACTCCACGCCAGCTCCCTTCCTAATGGAAGAGTGAAGGGAAAGACTTCCTGGGTTTGACTTTATACCATATTATCTTGGTATTGAGGAACAAGTCAGTAATCTAAGGATTGATTACGGTGGCTGGAATTTGGGCACTTGTCCTATCACTGGTCACTGAGTATGAAAGTCCCAGTTGAATTCTTGCCCTTAAATGCTTTTGCTGCTATTTTTTTTGCCCACAGTTCCCATAAGATCCAATCAGTAATTCTGCATCCTGGGACAGTTGGTTTCTACTAAACCAGGCCAGGAAGGAGGGGAAAAAAGAGGATGGTATTCTCAGACACTCCTTCCTCCTGCCCCTTTTCCTAGCAGCTCTCAGACCTGTGGTTAGCTGCTGCACTTCCTCCCTGAGGTAGAGAATGTGTGGTGACTGAGTGGTCTGTGTTCCTATTGCTAGTGGGGTGATGGGGTGGGTTGAAAACCATGCACTCTGGAATTTGTTGTATTTTCTCTCAGTAAAGCTTTTTTTTTTTTTCCTGACTGCTGCTCTGTGTGGTATGTGGTCCATTCATTTATGATGGACTGTTTTTGCTCCTTTCAATGTAGGTACCTGACCCTTCCCTCTCACTCTGTCCATGTTACAATTTAGCAAGTCCCATCTAGGATATTCATGCTTCCACTGCTTGGGTTCCAGCTGGTGACTGTTGTCCATTTGGCTCAGTGATAGTTAGAAGGTAGGGGCAGGATGGTGGGGGGGTGATATTATTTGGGGTATTTCCCCAGTCCCTGTTATAGGCTACAAAGAGGGATATGAGGATAAATATTGCTCCCCTTCCCTTCCCAGTAATTCAAAGGCTTCAAAATTCTGGTCACTCACAGAAATTTTAGAATCAATCAGGTACAGTACAATCAGTCACCTTTATTCCAGGGTTAGAACAAGGCCGTGCACACTGCAGACAGAGCACAGGATGGGGCAATCTCACAGCAATATAAGGGGTAGGTGGGCAGGTTAGTCTTTTTAGATTATTTTGCCTTACAGAGAAACTATTAGACTCTGCTGAGAATAACCCAGTCTCTCTTCTCCCATTTCTTCCATAAGTAAGGCTCCTATTCTCACTCTTATTCTCACATAACACATCCCGAATGGAAGGGCAGTTCATGCTAATTTCCCCCCTCCTAGTTCTATAGGTATCTTTCTCTTAAAGGAGAAGCCAGACAGGGCTGGGGAGACTTGAGAAGGTCCTTTAAGGCAAAACCGTGGAGTCCTCAAGGTGTGTGTGTTAAGGCAGGTGTCCGCATCGGTGGCCAGAGGGGATGGGCAGGCTGGACCAGGCTAGGAGTCAAGGGTACTCTCTAACCAGTCTGGCTTCTTCCTTCTTCCAACAGCCAGCCCTCCTCTCACACTAAAGGTTTTCTCCTCATCATAAAAGCTTCTAACTTCAACTTTCTTTAAATAGTTTCTGAGATTGCATGTGAGTTTAATTTTTTTTTAAAAAAAAGCTTTCTTTTTTGTTTGGACTATGTAGCAATTTTACTCTGCCACTCCCTTCACTGTGGCATTCCCCTCCCACCCCTGCTCTGGCTTAGACAATAAGTTAATGCTAGACACCACAAAAAAAGGGCAGACATGGCAGTGCGGGTTTAATATACATATACGTAGAATATATATGTACACACAGTTAGCACGGTCGGGTGGGGAGGGGCATCTTGGGACAGGTAGGAGGCTGGGGTTACTCACTGTACTCTAGTGACTTGGCTAGGAGGCATCCACAAGCCCAAGGGTCCAGAATATTAAGCGAGAAGGGTTACTAAATCCCCTCCTGGATTGAATTGGGGCAGGAATGAGTGCAAAGGAAAACACTGTCGTTAACTTCACTTCTTTCTGGCTTGGGATGTTCCAGACCAAGGTGAAAGGGAAGGTTGCCTGTTGCCTGCAAAAATCACATTGGGACCCTGTAGGTGGGGGCAGGATTGGGGTTAAAACCTAAGGATCTCATTCCCCAATTTCCCTAGGTTCAGAGTCAGAATATGCAACAGTCTGTGTAGCAATAAAGGAGTGGAAAAAGGGGGCCCCCTCCCTCTGCCCTCATCCCCATCTCAGGCTCAGTGGTGTAAGTTCCCAGCATAGTCTCTGCAGAGCACAAGTGGGTGGGGCATCTAATGCTGGCTGCTCCATGGGTTTGATCTTAGGGATCAGGAAAGGATCCAGTGGCTTCTCATTAGATCCCTGGCTCATACCCATCCTAGGCCCATGAGAGGGGAGCAGAAAGGGACTGCTGGCACCTAGGCCCTCCAACCTGAGGAACAGCAAGAAACTGGACTCTTCAGTCAGTTCATCATGAGGGTACAATACTAAACTCTGCCTGTTCTTTGCCCCTTCCAGGTAGGAGTTGGGTGGCCTCTTCACCTTCCCTCCCCACTGCTTTTCCTTGGATTCATCTACCTCTCCCATCTCACCCCCACCTCAGCTCCTCAGTGTAGGAAAATGCAGGTCCCTTCTACTTCCGCACTTTAAAGATGTGGGGGGAGAGTGGAGGAAAGGGAAGTAGGAGGAATGTGCTGATTTCTATTTGCATAGAAATAGCCCCCACCTCCTGTCCTCCTAGAGTGGGGAAACTAAGCCCCCTCTAGCCCCTGACCCCCATCCCCTCATAAGGAGGAACTAGATGAGCTAGACATACAGACATACAGCCAGAGCGTGCGCACACGCACACACACGCGCACAGTAAGGGGGTTAGGACCAGGTTAGTAAGTGGGTAGATAGGGGGAGGCTTGCCCCCTCTCCGGGAGGATGGGGGAAGGAAGTGGTCTGATGAAGGTCCAACCTTCCTCCTCTTCCTCCCCCTTGCTCAGGCCTTCTTCGGTGGGGGAGCCAATTTGATGATCTCTTCCTCAGAGGGCTGCCGGATAATGTCTGGGGGCAAAAAGGGATGTGTCCAGGGATAGAAGTTGTAGGAGATACCAGGCAGGCCATTGAGCATCAGCCTTGACTCTCCCAAAATGCAGGGATAATCATGGGAGTGGGCAGAGGTGCAGCTGTGTTAAAGGCATGGCCTCTTACCTTTGTACTTCTTGGCACTGGGGATACGGGTTAGCTTGGTGTCCAGCTCATCCTCCTCAGAAATCTTCAGAACACGGGTTCTGTAGTCAACCACCATAGTGAGTAGGTCAGGACGGCGAGAGATCTCAAAGATGTGCTCAATGTAGGAGAGGTTGTCTGTAGAAGAGGCAGGAGATTGACAGTCAGAGTTAGGCTGCGAAGGTCATATTCCCGCACTCTGCCAGACTAGTGTTTTGGAACCAAGGCTGAGTTGCTCACATTGCTTATGGGAAGGGACAGCACTAACAGAAGAGGGGCTATTAAGCCAGGAAAAGAAAACTAAAGTACCCAGACAGTAAAAGCACTATTCTCAGAAGGGCAGATAGTAAAGTTTTTCAATTGTAGATTTAGAATGAGAGATTTAGGTTAGATACGAGGTCCCATATCGGAGGGGGAGGGGACAATAGAAAAATTAACTTGCCTTCCAGATACCCCACTCCCACCCTGTCCTTTTTCTACATTCTCTCCAAGTAAGTATCAGAAAGAATTTGCTGGCAGCACATATAGGACTGGAGGGGGTAGAATCTTAGACAACCTAGGAGAGATCCTGGGTCTAGTGAAAAAGGTTATTCTTAATGAGAAAAGGCTTGGACACCACCAGAAGGATGATCCATGGCTTGGCCAGTTCCAGGAGACTATAGATGCCCATAGACTTTCCCTGGCTCCTGCCCTCCGAGTGCTGCAGTAGTCTAACTATAATATGTCCTCCTTCAGCCTCCCTGCTATCCACACTACAGTCAGAATAGCATATCTGAAGGGCCCTGAGGTCATTCGCCTCACCTATCAAATACCCTGTCAACAGTCTTAACTTACCTTCTCAGCCACTACTAAACATACCCTATGTCCCAGTCAAGCCAAGCAGGACACTTTGCTTTTCCAAACACACCAGATACTCTTTCACCTCTGTGACTGTGTTCCTCTGCCTGGCATGCCTTTTTTGAATCCTGCCCTAGAAATCCCACTTGCTTTCCAGGGCCATCTTAAAGACCAATTCTTACCTAAAGCCCCCAGCTGCATTGGATTGCTCTACCCATAGACCTCCTCCCCGGGACTTCACTCCTAGCAGTAGTCTCCAAAAGTGGATAAAAAAATGTTAGAACTGTGGTTTTATTTTAAATTTTACCACTTCTAAATTCTGTTTTTATTAAGTATGTGATAATAGCACAGGAGTATCTGAATAACATTTTTACTGACAAGGGGCACAATGAAAAATGTCTAAATGTCAAAACTGTATAAAGCCGCCTATACTTTCTTAGAGTATCTCTCTTATTCTGCCTTGTCATAGAGGGGTACGCTTTGTATATATAAGAGTTTTGAGCTCATCTCTATCTGCTGAATGAACTGAGCTTGAAAGGCTGATGGCAGGATCCCTGTGTCCCCTCCCCCACCTTTGTCCAGCTTGTTGTGGCTCTCCAGGAAGCTAAACCAGGCACTTCCAGTAGTGATCTCCTCACTCTTTTCACTGGGGATGTCCTCCTTGCAGGCTGACTTGAGCTGTTCCAGATCTTCAAGGGTGATGTTGTTGGTCAGGTCCTGGAGAAGGGTCCCGTACTCAGCCATGACTGGGTTGGGAGGGAACAAAGGGAGAGGAGTTGAGCTTAAGATATGAGGGAAAGTATGGGAATCTGGCTCACTCACTGGCAACTACTGCATCCCCCCACTCTGCCCTACCAGGCATGTGCCTAGAACATGGAGGTTGGGGGTGGCCACGGCTGGAGGGAGAAAAGGAAGACTGACCTAGGAAGGTGATAGGGGTAGACTGGAAGAAACTCAGAGCTGGGAGCCAGGCTGGAGCCTAGAGTGACAAGTCATACCTCCTTCTCCCCACCATCTTTTTCTTCTTTTACCCCCTCTAACAGTAACCCTGGCAACAGTTCCCCTGACTGAGGAGGCGGTTACCATAGCAACCTGCTCCCGACTTTCTCACCCGCTGTCTCCAAGTCCCCCCCAGAATCGCCCCACCCACCTGCAACCCCTCCCCATGTCAGGAAAAAAAATCCAAAACACTCAAAAACAACAACTAGGGAGAGGCTTGCTGTGGCAGTCAGAAGCTGAGAAGGAGGAACTGGAGGGGTTGGTAGGAGCTCATGTTCTAGCTTCCATTCTTCCCCAGAAGCAAAGGGGTCCCTCACTTCAACTCCCCACCACCTCACTAATGACTCATTTTGGATGGATGCCTAGTTGCTTGGTCTGATAGTTCCCTGGCCCCTCCATGCTTACTTAGCCTTGTATTTGTCATTAGGGCTTGAGGTGGGAGAAGCAGTGGCCCACCCCCACCTTTGTAGAGCCCATTTTCTCCCTTGATGGTTACCAGGCCCCCACTTAGCCCTCTCTCCTAGCCTTTGTGCTGTGCCTGCAGCCCCCGCGCCCAAGAATACCAAGCGGCTGCCCCTGGCCCCTTGCCCAGTTCCCAGGCTGACTGGGTGGTGGGGGGAGGGGA